ATGTAGATGGCAAGTGACAGCGATATAACAGAGACTACCTAGCCAAGTTATAAGCCCTATATGTATATATATACCTACATGTATTTGGAATGACTACTAGGCATATCATCAAATAAGAGACTATTACTATTAGACCTCTCGAGGTCCATATAGAGGACCATATAGACCAGAGGACCATGTAGAGACTATCAAATAAGAGACTATAATAGGTATATTACTCTATAACAGAGACCACTTATAGAAAATGAATACATGTACCACGTACAGTACCAAGTTGCAATATGACTACTAGGCATAATTACCCTATAATAGTGGCTATACCTATATATAATGACTACAAAGTTTTAATATGACTACTAGCTATATAGTCATATCACCCTATAATAGAGACTACCTAATAATAATATCAAATTACTACCAAGTAGTAATTAATATTACTACGAGGCATATCACCCTCTACTACTCCAATAACAGAGACTAACTTTACAGCCTTATATGGAATTACTAATAAGTTGTAATATGCATACTAGGCATATCATCTTAATATAACAGAGACTATCTAGTATCTATATCAAATGACTGCCAAGTTGTAATATGACTACTAGGCATATCACCCTATAATATAGTGACTACCTATAAAGAATGACTATCAAGTTTTAATATGACTACTAGGCATATTGCACCTTCTAAAAGAGACTATAATATTTATATGAAATGCCTATATAGTTGACTATTAAATATTCATATATCACCCTATAATTTAACAGAGACCTCTTATTCAGAATAACTACTAGGCATATCACCCTACAACTGATACTAGCATCTATGGAATGACTACCAAGTTGTAATATGACTACTAGGTACATGTATATTATCCAATATCAGGGACTACATATATGAAATGACTACCAACTTGGCAAGTTGTAATATGACTACTAGCATATCACTCTATAACAGAGACTACCTATTCGGAATGACTACTAGGAATATCACTATAATATAGACTGACAAGTTGTAATAAATATGGCATATCACCCTATAACAGAGGCTAGCTTATAAATATGTCTACCAAGTTGTGACATGCCTACTAATCATTAACACGTTGTAATATAAATACTGGGTATATCACTCTATAATAGAGCCAACTCATAGAAAATGAATACAAGTTGTAATATGACTACTAGCATATCATCTTATATCAGAGACTACGGTAACTATTGAAATGATAATCAATATGCGTACTGACCACATTTGTACCTATATCAAATGACTGTGAAGTTGTAATAGGACTACTAGGCATATCACACTATAACAGATAAACCCTATTATAGAACATAACTACCACTTTATAATATGACTACTATATTACAGAGACTACATGTACCTTTATGAAATGACTAAAAAGTTATAATATATATGAATATTTTTTTATAATTCTTTATTTCCATACCACATTTACAACATATACAATATTCTGTTACAAAATCAATATACTAATGGATTTTGTATGAGGATATATTGTATGCATACACATAGACACAGTGTTTTTACTAGACATGCATGTAGTTTTGTACATTGTAAGTAACTATTTACTAGTATATTGAGTTATAGATGTACTCTCATACTGGCAAACCTTTTCAATCCAACTCGCAGTTACACATACATATATTATTAATTACCACCTGTATACTTGTGTTCGTAAAAAGACGATAAGTCCAGTTCATATAACTCCTTTCTGGACAGTGGTATATTAGTTAAAATAACATGAATGTATACAAATATTGTGTAGGAATAATAGTGATTACTGAATATTTTATATATAAATGCAATCTTCAAAACAGACTTTTAGGCATTTCGCCTCATAACTATGAAATGGCGACGAAGTTGCAATATGATTACTAGATCTATCGCTTTATAACAGTGACTTCCTGTATGTATGAATTATATAACTAATATAAAGTGTCAACAAGCGATAGGCATTCAACTAAAATGAACCCCTGTACCTAAGCAGTGGAGACTTTATCAGAGACAAGTTTAATTATTTTGACACATTTCTTTTGATTCTAGAATGATGAGAAACCTAAGAAGCAGGAAAGAGGAGCAGAAAAAAGAGAAAAGCATAGAGAAGGGGAAGATGAAAGGTCAGGAGAAGAAGAGGAAATCTAAGAAAGAGAAGGAGGAGGAAAGGCAGAGGAAGGGAGAGGAAGACCGGCAGAGGAAGGAAGAGGAAGACCGGCAGAGGGAGGAGGAAGACCGGCAGAGGAAGGAGGAGGAAAGGCAGAGGAAGGAAGAGGAAGACCGGCAGAGGAAGGAGGAAGACCGGCAGAGGAAGGAGGAGGAAAGGCAGAGGAAGGAAAAGGAAGACCGGCAGAGGAAGGAGGAAGACCGGCAGAGGAAGGAGGAGGAAAGGCAGAGGAAGGAAGAGGAAGACTGGCAGAGGAAGGAGGAAGACCAGCAGAGGAAGGAGGAGGAAAACCGGCAGAGGAAGGAGGGGGGAAAGCAGAAAGAGGGCGTAGATATAAAGGATAGACTGAAGAATAGGCTGCGCCTCAAGCGTAAGAATGGACAGCAGAACAGAGAAAAACCAATTGGTGAGCTTAAAACTATTCTTTTACTGTATAGCATATGTCATATTTATGAATGTTAATGTTGTATATGTATAACAAGTTGGTAATTTCTAGATTTCTAATAACGTTATATGCCCCCCGTATCGATAGATCGGGGAATCTAGCCTTTGGAATGTCTGTCTGTCTTTCCATCCCGCATTGGTTAAAGTTGTAAAGTGCACTTATCTTCTGAACCAGTGACGATAACTTCATGGCCATGCACATCAGCATTAGGCGGAGTGTCACACACAACAAAAATGACACCCTGGTCCTCGCCCAAAGGTCAAGGTCACCACTTTAACCGGGGTAAAAACTTAGGTTAAGATCACCACTTTAACCTGGGCCATAACTTCTGATAACTTGAAACGTCATGGACATGTGTATCATCACTAAGTGGAGTGTCGCACACAAGAAAACATTACCCTCTGACCCTCTGTCGAAGGTCAAAGTTCCCGTACCCGTAGGCGTAGCCTCGAGGCATTAAGATACGGCTACCGTACCCGTAGCCACTGCCGACAAATAAAATCGGTTTGCCCTCGATAAGTTCCACTCCAGTTCGTAATATTCGAAGCCAACAAAATTATTTTATGAATCTGCAAACCTTATTTTATAGAATACAAAGCGTGCTTGTATATTCATTGGGATTTAAGCCGAAAATTATGATAAAAACTCACACTTTTTCTTCAATCTTCGTGAGTTCGGGCACACCGATTTTCAAAAAGTCAAGGTCAACCTGTTGCTGAGCTATTTAGTACACGTGTTTATCATTGGTCAAAATTTTGTAATTTCCGAGCGCAGGACGAATGAAAATTCCCGTTGAAAGTTACGGTGGCACGTGATATATTAGTTCTGGTTCACCCACAGACTAACGGATACACTACGGATTTTGCTGTTTAGCTACCATTTTGCTGTCTATTCATGCTGTTTTATTGTACAATTTTCATCGTATTTCTCGGTCGTATAATAATATTGGAGAGTATTGTAGAGTTAATGGGAATGGAAGGAACACACGCCAAAAGTGTACCAAACTCATGCTGGGCGGCAGTTTACTGGCTAAAAGACGGGAAAACCAGCATCCAAAAAATTGATGGACATGACATTGACAATGACATGCATGATGGAATTAGAAAAGTTTCGGCGGATGATGTCATACAGCTAAAGTATGGTAGATCTTAGAAGACCTTGGCTGCCAGAGTGTTGGAAACCAGCGGTAAATATAAATAAATAATTTACAGTGATGTGAATTTTCTGCTTTTTAGGGCAAATTAGGCTGTTACTGTTAGTCTCCTGACAACCGGTCCTGATTATCGCTGATTTGTCCCTAAAAATACAGCTGAAAAATCACTGAGTCTGAATCGTCGATGAAAAGTCGTGCATTTATTATCGTTTTGGTTGTTAGTGAGCTGCAGTCAAGAGGGAAAACAAAGACTGTTCAGGCTTCAGCTGGGAAGTTATGCCGGTGCACATGAACCCGCCACACTTAGTAGGCCTATGTAGTATGTTACTAAAAAAAAGAGGATACACCTACTGCTGGCAACTGGTTAAAGGAGGCAGAGTCGGCAGACCCCTCCAAAAACAGCACACAACGTTTGGCATTCCATACTATTTATTAATTTAATGTTTTGTATTTCAGATGACAAGTCTAAACTTAACAGTGTTATTACCCGCCAGTTTGTGGTGTTCTGGTTAAAAGAGAAACAAGTGAGCTTGCTGTCTATTGGGGCTATTCCTAACAGGAAAGACAGACAGGAGGGGAAGACTGTAAATGTAGACTGGTTTGGAGCTTTGTGCCAAGGAAAAATTTTAAAAAGTAAGTGGTAAGTTATAAACTGAAATTATTGCAGAAATGTTATCAGTTGTTGACTTTTACTAGCATAAGCCCCGGTTTAGCTTATATTAGGCGATATTAATTGGCGAGTAAATCATCGGTGACCATTTGAAATATGCCTATGGTATGGACACGTAGGCCTAATGC